GGCAATAATTGCAGCACAGTGTTCCTTACTCAGTGACACCTTCATCCATCTCATCATCCTCAAGCATTTTGCTCTTCTAATGAATTTAGACTTGCTCTTTCCACAACTTGAGCATCAGTGATGTGACCTGTATCCAGTAGCTGTCTGCTAAGCCTTGCATTGGCTAATTGGAGATACTGAACTGCCCCTGCCAACTACATTTGTAGCTTTTTGAAGATTTTTAATGAACTTACAGCCTGTTCAAGACGTTTTTGCTTTAGTTTGGGTGGGTAAAATTTAAGTAGTGTATTATTTAGTTACTTAGCAGTAATTAGCAAATATGTCTACGCACAGATTTTGACCGCGGTAAAGTGAGCCGTCATTGGGTTGCAGCTTATGAGCAAAGATTTGCAGATAAGTTAGCACTTTACTCTCAACCAAACGTGTTTACTTCAGTCTGTGGGTGGTTTCAGATGGCTGCAGAGGTGTCAGATGGGGTCACTATTAAAAATATGTGGTGCAACCGGTCTGTTGGCCGCTCTTGCATGTGCTGTTGTTATCTCCACGGCTATCAGTGAACCGTGGCCATAAGGGGAGACCTAGCATTCAAAGAGCTGAACTAAAATGATAGTGTCCACTGCATTTTAGTTCAGCTCTATAAAAAGCCTGCACTTTTTATACTGTATTTTTTTTTTAAAGAAAATCTTTGATATATTTTTCACACGTCTCCTGTTCCTGGTGTTCTAGAAAACACCTCTGCTAATGCGATAGCATAAAATAAGCGTTAGAGACCAATTTGCAAACATTGAGGCTTTAAGTTACAGAGTCCAGAAACAGGTGATGTCACTATGGCTACATAACTATTACCCTGTACAGTCTATTTTCTCCATGGTTTGTGTGGAATCATTGCATATTGCACTATTACTTAATACAATGATTTCCTGAGGTTGCCCATTACACAGCGGTCCCACAGGAAACAGGGCTTTAGACAATGAGTGACACCCCTCCCATATGTGCAAAAAATGTGGTTGTGCAACCAACGGTAACCACTTTTTGCTTTATAAATACAAACACTCACAACAGATTAGCATGGCAGATTATTTCATGAAGTAACCGGAAGGTAACAGGCACAAGAAAAAGGACTCCAGGAAGTTCTTGCCCACAAATGCGATTGGATCTGCAGTCCACCGGTTTCACCCCATAAAACCATTTATCATTTTTGTTCAGCTGCCTGCGTATCTCTGGACTTTAAGCTAATCTTCTCCTGGCTGGACTCATAAAAGACTCATAAAAGAGTCTTGTCAGCTACACTTGCAGCAAGACGAAAAAACTGTAGAGCTGTTGCTTGAAACTCAGATCGTCTCGTCCTTTTCTGTGTTTTACCATGCTGTGTTTCTCGGTAACAACGCCGCAGCCTCCAATCCTCCCACAAACCATGGAGGCTTTGTTTCCCCTCATGTTCCACTTCTCAGACATTTCCTTCTACCGGTCGCCACATTCCTACATTTCAACATTTAACCTTCCACCTTTTACCCCCTTGGTTTTCTGCATTCTCTGATAAGCCTCAGAAAGTCATGGGGTCACCTTTGATAAAAGGGCATTCTTGCCTAATAGGGTTCCTCTGCGAGAAGTTTTTTAACTAACGATTCTGTAGTCAAACCCGAACCAACGATGACGTAATCCCATGTCGGTTTCATGAGCGAAATAGAAAAACGTAAAGTTGTAGATCGAAACTGAAAGGCTGACATTTGAGATGTTTCCACGGTGACAGTGTGCTCCACTGAGACTTTGGTGCCCTGCTCAGTGACTGGTTCGCTCATGTTTTAATCCATATGTATTTTTTTCCACATTAGCTGTTCGGAGGGGTGACATGTGAAGGGGCAGTTTTATGAAAGCTCGTTTTGTTCACAGAGTAGTGGTTTTTGAGATGAGTTCATCTTGGAGGCCAGAGTGGAATAAAGAGCAAAAAGAGCATTCCCACATCGGGGAAGAAAAGGAGAGAAAAAGAGTGGGCGTGGGCGGGGGAGGGATGCATGACAGGCTGTGTGGTTGGGGTGAGTCATGAGAATTACTAAACGGTCTCTGTGAGATTTATTCAAACTTTTTCAAATACAGGCCCGCCAGCAGCCCACCAACACTCTCCACCAAAGGGTCAGACTCTGGAGCTCCCTTCACTTCCACACAAGGGGAGCGTGGGCATGCTCGGCTGCTCGGGAAAAGACAGATGATGATTGTTGATGATGTTTTGGGGGAATTCAGCATCCCTCTCCGGGAAAGATCCTTGAGTCTTTGTCTGGGTTTCATCATTGGTCAGGTACCCAATGATGATCAAAAGATGTTCAAGATCAAACACAAGATTTATAATGCTGTAGATGTTGTTTACTAGTCTGTCCTGGGCTGCGTTGTCTGCGAGAACACACACAGACTACATCTGCTGTGAGTTACTGACTGCTTCTCCCAGTACAAACTACTGAATTAACTTCCAGCACGGCTGTAGTTTGTAAATGAAAGTCTGAATAGCTGTATAGATAGAAAGTGAGGGGCACAAACAGGTAGGGGCAGATTAGTGATACAATAGTCACTCTTATATGTCCCCAAAAAGTGACACAGGTATGAGTAGACAGATTGTGTGGCTCGAGACAGCAAATGACGTAGAAGTCATTTCAGCGTAGTTAGCACAGCAGTTAAAAATACCCCATTACACCACCCCATTGTCTACATTCAGCACCTCCTACCTCTCACCACATACTGACCAGTGGCCACACGCACACTTCTGTTCACCCAACTATTGTATCTGAGCTTCACCTCTAATAAAAACAAGGCTGTAAATTTCACAGGCCACAAGCTGGACTTCCTGGTAGCCTTTTTTGTTGTTTTTTTTTTAAAACTGAAAACTGCAACAATCATAAAGAAGCTGATCCAACGACGCGCATACACTCACATCGGGGAGATCATACATACATCAAGTCTTCATTTTTCCCCTCTCTAACTGGTTTTTAAGTGTTTTGATTTTTGGTCCTCTATAACAATGCATTGTTTTGTTTTGTTTTCCTGTCACACAATGTTGCACTTGTATGCAGGTACCACTGCAGGAAATACTTTTAACAACGTTCTGCTGAACATGTCATCGCACAGACTATCTTAACTTTTTTTCTTCTCTTAATTCTTACAGTTTATTAAGATTTCTACTATTTATGAAACAATAGTAGCATGCAAACGTTTGGTCAGCACTTTCTTGAAATTTGTTAGTATATAAAGTTGACTACTGTATGCTTTTCCTTCATTTCTGTCATGCTGTTGCATTGTCATATATTACAGAAAGAGTCAAATAGTAGAATAAGTATGTGCACGATGTACTTGGCCTAAAAGTTCAGTCTTCAAATTGATCTAAATGCTCAGTTTTGTAGTTTTCCCCCTGCTTTTGCATTTTTATGATTATCGCATGTCTGTGCCATCTTAGGCCCACAACTCTGGCTGCTGCACAGTAGCTCTTCTTTGAAGTACCACTGAGGGTGCCTAACCACTCTTTTGTTATTTCAGGGCATTGCAGAAGAGCCATATTTGGTTCCAGTTACCACCTTTATTTTCTGACTCTAAAAGAAGTGTGGCCTTAAAGTAAGATGAGCAATGACTTCTGTGAAGCAGTCGATATATTGAGGGATTCTACTGAGACCCAGTATAAGTTACCTGAGGTTTATTTTGAGCTGTGAGTTATGCAAACCTAATCTTGAGTTTAAGAGTTTCAGAGGAGCTGGGGTGAAATACTACATTTATTTTATTTGGTATTATTATTTGTTTTAATGTCTTAAGCAGGTATAGTGTTTTTTCTGTACTATTTTAGAGTGAAAAAGAAAAGTGACACCATGCAAAACATGCAAACATTACAATTTAGATATCACTGTTAGGAAATCCCCAAGTGACACAAATTTCAAATATCTATAAGCACACTCCTCAGCACCCTCCAAGCACCTGCTTAATATACTTAATGCAAAGAACAGTGGCCTTTAAGAATAAGAAAAATGCCCATGGGAAAGTTAGAAAGTCAAACCAAAACTGGACTGACTCAAAAAAGGGCAAGCTGTGGGCTCACGCCTCGATATCATAAAAGACATTTTCTGGATTAGTTCAGTGCATGCAAGACCACCCAAAAAGTCTCACAGATTATTTTTTAATACGGACTTTTAACTGTTACAAAGCCCGTTTCTGTTTTTGTTGGCATGAAAGACATGTTTTATCTTCGACATTAATACTTTTGAACATGAAGTCTTCCTTTGCTACCTTAAACATTTACAGTAACAGAAACTTAGAAACCACTGTAAACGCTAAACACCTCCACAAACACTCATCATAGCATACTGGTTAAACTGGCTCATTAAACAAATGTCATAGTCAAACACAGCTTTTCCTTCATACCGATGAGAGAAAATAATGAGGTCTGTGTAACCTCAGAAACCACTATTATTAATGACATAATATTGCACAGTTGCGTTGGAGTACATCTGCATTCATTATTACTGTACTGTGTGTGCGCTGTGCGAGAGACATAAAATTGATCGGTGCTAACTAATAAGGAATAGAGTTTTTCCTTTGTAATCATGCAGTGACAGCTAATGGAAAGGTTTAGGCAGCTGTTTACATGAGCGTGGTTTTTTGTTTTGCATGAATTTATATTAAACTTGGCTGTAGTTGCCTGATGTGGTGAAATCACTTCCTGTGGCTATTTATAACATAGTTTGTGGTTTCTGTATGTTCTATGCCATGTAAATAAAGACAGATTTTGCAAACCACAAGACGATTTTTCACAGTTGCGTTTCATTATAACTGTTTGTTTGGCATCTGTTGATTAATGCTGCAATTATTTATTACTGCATGTCTGACAGGGACGTTATGAGCCTGTTTAAACATCTGTGGTGTTACAGTGCAAGTGGATAAGCACTTTTTACTGCTGCACAACAGCCCTGTGGAAAATATTTAACTTGCTGAGCATAAAAGAAGATATGCAAACACTATAAAGGCTGACATCCACCCTCGACCCATGTCTCTGCTTATATTTGAGACACAGGTTCTTAGTACATATATAATCTATACATTGTTCCATAGGGGTTCCCTCTAAAAAAACAAACAAAAAAGCAGCCAAACAGAAACCCTTCATTACGAGCGAGATCTGTGTGTGTTGTGGGCCTGCAAAGGGGAAATCGGGAGGCTTTTTGGCTCGCCCAGACCATCACAGAGGCCAGGCTGGGTATGTTTTACTGATCCTGTATTTAACTAAGACCCAAAGTATTGTTATTCACTCTCCGGTTTCATCTGCGTCTGTCGTAAAAAAGAGGAGGGAGAAAGAAAGGGAATACTGGACCACTGGTAGGAATTCTGAATTTACTGGCGTTCCAGTGTTTTACTGTTAGTTGTGCTTCATTAGTCCAAAAACTGTAATAAAGAGGTGATTTTTTTCATTACTGGCTTGTAGGGCTTTCTCCACTTTGATTGTGGACATTTATGGATCAGATGTCATGTTTAGCAGCTTATGTTTAGTTTCACTGACTCACCTCTTTCTACTGTGTTTCCTGTGGCTCGTACAGGATAGATGCGTGTGAAAGTATTATCGCAGTACAGTATCCTTGCAAACACAACCAGCAGAACAGGTCAGGTCTTTGGCACTTGTAGCATTGATAACCTGGTGAACACAGGAACTGAATTGCTCAACGTTTTCTAGGTGCTTGTGTTTTTATTGGCTGACACGTGTCAAACCTCTGGAAACTATTAAAACCAGCTCGGCCTGCCTCGCAGACGATCACACAAGTGTGCGCTCACTCACACGTACTGTAGACACATAGCGAAACACCCCGTGTTTCAAAGTGTGAGAGCTGAGGTATCGAGCGTGTCCGCCGGCTGAGCGCTTAACTCGCGCCCCCAGTGTGATTTTGATGTAGCGACGAGCTCGACTTCACTTTTATCTGCAGCACAGCCAACTCAGTTCGCACACCCACACACACAGAGACACACACTTACACACATAAACAGACTGATGTCACGGCCAATGCCAGTTCTTACAAAAAAGAAACTCAACCAAGCAGTGAGTAAAACCTTCACTCTAAACATTCCACTGAAATTACCCCCAAGCCACAATTACTGTCAAGTAATCTTTTGTAAACTTTTGTAGCAACTGAGGATTTTATTTTATCTGAAAAAAGCGAAAAGACCAGAAGAGCCCAAAACCAACAGTGAATTTATTCTCCTAAATGAGCCAAACTGAGCGTGATATATTACTTCTCTGCACCACAGGACTTTGTTCTTTTTAACAAACTATTAAAAATGAATCAGTGAGTCACATCATTTCACTAAGTGACTGCAGTTTACTTTCACTCAGTCACACATGTTTCTTCCCACTGCTGTCTTTTTCTGCAGCTGAAAATAGTCCCCAACTTTCTTCCCTCTGCAAAGCAAATGATGCTTTTTTACAGGAAAAACTGAAAGAATAAACAGTCATCAAGTGAGCTAAGGGTTGGAGGACGTGTCTGCATTAGAGAGTTTGCATGACCTGGAGTTTTACATTTGATTTTACATTATAAACTCTTTAACTGAAAGCAGAAGTTATTAAAACTCCAAATGTACGGTGGAATAAATGTAATTCAGTGTCATCTGGTCTCGATGAAGTTGGGATCTTATGAGCTGGAACTTTAACGAGCATGAAATGCAGCTGTCAAGTTTCAAATCTGAGCTTTTCATCTTTACTCAGACTTTGATTTTACTCTTCTAGCAGGAAATATGCAGGGCTGCAAAATATGGTTACGTGTTTTTGAAAGTATATTAAAAAAAAAACCTTCACCAAAACCAGGCAGCTCACAAGGATTGCATTTAGTATAGATTCATTTGGTTTTGGTTTTTCATTTGGTTGGTTTGTTTTTTTTAACTTACTTTAAGACGTTAGCAATGCAGTAAAAATCAAGTAAGAGTAGCATGACTGATGTTTACTTTGAATACATATAGAGGAGGACGCATGTTGGAGCATATGATTATTTAGGGGTAGGAATTTGTATTGATTTTTAAAAAGGCTGGACATGAATGACTTGAGTTTGTTATATGATATGCATATACAGTATATTTCTAACTTGGCACCTCATTCTTTTTCTCTTAAACATACTTTCTTTAAACACAACACATTCTAGGTTCAACTTGAAAGAAAGGCAGATGTGAAATGTTAAAGTGAGGTCAGAGGTCAAAGGTAACAAGATATTTGGATGCGAATTATATGAGATTTAGAGTCTGCATATAGCAGTGTTATTTCCTAAATGTTGCCAGTTCAAACAAAAACAGCATCATTTTAAAGATAAAAACCATTTTATGAAAGTTTGACCTTATTTGACCTTGAAGGAGAGGTCAGATGACATCATAATTTAAATCTTTATATGGTACATTCAACATGTTGACAACATGTTGACAATACAAGCCACACTATATACATTACTTGAATCATAGTTTATAAGGCCTTTTGTCCGTTTTGGACCAATAATCATTAAGTTGACTTTAAAGACATTGGTGGATGTAAACCAATTTTGATTGGACTGTTAAAATGACTCTAGCAATAAATAACATCTTTATGTTTTTAAAAATTTTAAAATGTTTCATCATCATGTCAATAATATGTTTTTTCACATGTCAGGTTCAACATACGTAACAGTCACCAAGGTTTTCTCCTACATTGTTAAATAAAGTGTTATATTTTCTAAAAATGTTCTATATTATCTCTTTTTTATATAGATTTTTAAAAAATTATTCCATAAGGAAGAAAAAGTCAAGTATACTATATGATATTACCATAAAATGATAAGTAGACAAATGTTACAGAATGATTAAAACTCATATAAACATAGTACATAGGTGCACACAGGTACACATCCTTGGAGTACCAGTCTTCTTTATTTTTTAAAGCTTGGATTCAGCAAAACAAAATCTATAAAAAATGGCACATTTTATTTGCTGACCAATGATATCAGGTTAGCATAGTTCAGTCCCTTCCAATATTATTATCTGTGATGATGACTCAATTGTTGTAACTGTCTCCAAAACATTTCTAATGTAGTGTAGTTAATGCAGTTTTAGAAAAGGCAAAACAATCATAGGTGTCAGAAGTGAGATGTTGGTATGTGTCTAAGCTTCTGCTTCGTCAATTTTTAAACATTTTTGAAAAACAGCTTGGTGCAAAAATGTTTTCTATTTATAGATTTTCTCTTCTTGACAGTCGTGTGAATTTTCTAAATAGCTCACTTGTTTCTTTCTTTTTAAGACTTAAATTCAAGGGTTATGGTTCTTAAGTATTCACACAGCCAACACCTGCTGCCATTAGCTTTCTGCTATCACACCCATGCTAATCCAGGTCACTGAGCTACATCTCTCAACCATGTTTGTGCTGTTAGTGCCGTTCATAGCATTTTAATTATCTGACAAATAATATGGCCTAATGTGTGCTGAAGCCCATCCAAAAGGCAAGAAGAAGGTCTGGTGAGAGAAATTATGGTATTCTGACTTTGTTTCTTTGATTAGTACAATATACTCAAATTAATGGATGTATCTAGCTAACTCATCTCCTAGCATTAGCTGATAACGTAGCACGGCATCTTCTGGTCTAAATATGGTCCAAAAAAGCACTCACTCAAAAGAGATCAGAAACATTACATTTACAGTACATTTAGGCTGTGGCCATTTCTTCTGTGTATAAATCTGTTTCTTCTGCATTTAAGAACATTTCTGTGCACACTATATTTTTACATATTTAAATATTATCAGCACTTAGCAATAAAAGTTTATGGGTTAAACAAATACTGATATCTGTATTTTACATTTTACCTCCCAGTCACCCAAACACTCTGAGTGCATCTATTTAATTTAGACGATGTTACGAAGTATAATACGGGTTGATGAGTCAGTGGCGCTCACCTGTGACCATTGACATCAATACTGAGGTGAGTTTTTGAGGATCTCCTCAACTTTTCTGTTTGTAAGCGTTCCTGTGTTTGTTGTTGTTAGCATCAGTTAGCCTCTGTTAGCTACTGTTAGCTGGTGCAACTTTTAGGACATTCAAGTAGCTGGCATAATGTTAGCTTATAAGCAGCTGTTGTTGTTGTTAGCCGCCTCATTGTCAGCTGTCAAGAGATGGGAGTGTCACATGTTTAAACTGCTGACAATAAGTAATTGTATGTTAATGCACATTTTTGTGTGTTAGAGCCCAGATTTTAGGCTTGAGGTGAGGACAAAGAGGATGACGTTTTATCCAGACCCCTGTCGCGTTGTGTCTTTCCTCCATGTTCCCACTTATCTGATGAAGCGGACCCCTTATCAGATGATAAAACACAGGTGTGATCCTTCATATCTTATCAGATGATGAATTAAAAATGAACGCCTATGAGTTTTTTCTCCTTTGGAAATGTCTAGCCATGTATGTAAAACATGAGTCTGAATGGTGATGTCGATCTCAACCACAGTATTCAAAACAGCAGGGCAAGATGGCGGCTTCCCTGTACCAGTGTCCACTCCACAAGTTCATCTTATAGAAGGAAGACGTAATTACACAGTAATCTGTGTATATTTATGAGTATTACATTCTTTTTTCTATAAATAACCTCAAAACCTGGTGCTTTAAGAGTCAAAAATATGGAGTCCACAAACTTAATGGGTGACAGTAGTTTTGTCCATCGTTTAAACACCATCTATGTTTGTGTCTATGTTATGGCTTGTTTCAACATAACATAGACACAAAATCGTGTGAACTGGATAAAAAAATAAATAAATTGAGAAATTTACTAAAATTAGATATATCAAATGTGCTTTTTGACTGGCACTACACTTTGATAGACTACTGGCCTCTTGTGATACATAGTTTCAAGCAGTAGGTTTAAACAGTTGTCCCAAATTCCTGTCAGGGATACATGTTTTGTGACTCTGGACAGTGTAACAGTGACGGGGAACAACACATGGTGACAAGCGGACCTCATCCTACTGGCTTGAGTAGTGGCTGTATAACTGCAGGCTGTGAAGTTACGTGAGGTATCCCCCTACAAAAAAAACAGACCAAGCAGGAAGTGGGATATTTTCTTTCCAGTCTAATGTGTAACCCTTGGGGCTGAATAACTGTTGCATTACATGAGAACATCTGATGCTATACACACACCTCAGCCTCCAGTCTAATTTCCCAGAGAGTCAAAATTCCCCCAAAACTAGCTCATCTGGACACGTTAATAGCAAATAGCCACAACTCCAAGCAGTCATATTGTGTTACATATTTTTGTTGATATTCCCTGGAAACTGATGACTTTGTGATGAGTCTCATCCTACTGTAGTGTTTATTATGATGAGCTGTCTAACAT